GTACTTACCAACTTTAGGTTACATGAAAGTAGTGCTAGAAGTGCCTAGCTCCATCTGGTGGCATATGGTATGTGGATATGCTGAGTTTCGTTTCAACTTAGCACATTCTTCACAACCGAAAAAGCAGAAAGAAACCAGAGACGATTTTTACGCGCAATTCTTCGATACTCGAACATCGACATGTTTTCTGCGCATACATAGGTGCAAATGGCTGCCGGTACCTGTGGCACGTGTAGTGCAAGTCAATGACCTTTGGATCAAGCATGGTTACCGCAATTAAATAAAAAATAAGAATTTAGATTTTTTTTTTAATAGTTTTTTAGTGATTTGGTTTCAGTTTCGGATATAGAATGACCTCAACTGAGAATGCAAATCAACACATTGTATACTTGATAGCGTGCGAGTATAGATCAACGGATCGAATCCTTGTGACGGTATGCACTTGTGATGTTTAGTAGCAATACCTCTCGCCTATGGCGAAGGATAAAACATCGTAATAAAACCTGCTTGCTGCAGAAACTTCCCAATCCTTAAATTCCCGTTCCTGTCCTGCCGTGGACTGTAAACATTCCTCTTGGAGAAAACATTTGCCGAGCAGTGGGATGTAATACGTTGATGTTGATTTTCATACTCAGGTCATTTTCGTGTGGTGTTCGACTTCGGCTTCGAACGGCAAGAAATCATATTCCACGGAAAGCACTTCGGTTTAGGCCAATATCACGATGTGCGGCTGTCGAGGAAGAACAGCGGCGCTACTATGGTCTTACAGGTACACTAGATGTTTCTAAACAACCGCAAATAAAATGATATCGGCTGTAGCCTAGAGTAGCACACGCAAGTTGATAGCGAGTCTGGAGATCTTGAGTATTAGACAAGTAAATATTGGATTTTTATTGTCCTTTGTTTTAACAATGATAGAAAATAATATGGGCAATCTTGCACTTCGATATTTGAATTATTACATTATAGTAGTTATATCTTTAGATGGCACTGACATTTTGAATTGTTGAGTAAAACGTGAAACCACAAAGAGCGGGTGCTCCCGACCCGACACGCGCCTGACCGGCACCCGCTCTCTGTAGGTTTCACACTTAAATGGAGGTGTTTTTATGTAGTAAATGTGGTATTCGACAATTTAAAAGTATATTTATACACAGTTTGAAAAGCAACGTAAAGAACAGAAAACGTCAGAACAAAATAAAAGAATAGCCGGTACTATCCATAAAAATCTGCTCAATAAGCGCCACCTAGTTGATTTGTTTATTATCATTAGAAATTAGAGAAGCTTTGATAAATTCCAGTAAAAGCCACAAAGATGTTTACAATATTCCGGCCTTATTTATTGAAAATAATAATATAAAACTTTAATATGTACGCCGATTTATAATAGCTACCCACCAACCTTCCCAATCCTTTTTCATCCAAATTCCGCACCTATTCCATAATCTATAATTCTGCTTTCAAAACCCTTTCATTGGCTAAATGCGAAGGCAAAGCCACTAATATTGAAAAAAAAAAAAACAATTCGCTAACAAAAATAGCTATTTGGTACTCGACGCGTCCATGGTATACCAATGGGTACTAAATACGTGTAAACACCCGACTACACTGCCTTGTATCGCGATTAGCTGTCCTCTATTGTAAATACGTTGGTTTTGTAAGCTGAGTTCACACATAATTAGTCGTGTAATTAGACAAAATAACCATATTCAATTTGTTGTATGTAATATTTTTATTTTTTATTTTTTTTTATTTTTTTTTTATAACGCACACACTCAACATAGCCCCGCACTAGGGAAACCCTGTGTCGCGGGTGCCATGGACACACATATAGACAACCACAAATTACACCCAAACTCACGAGAGAAATAAATGTAGGCCATACAAACATTTCTCCCGACCCGGGAATCGAACCTGGGACCTCTGCGTGGCAGTCCGGCATGGTAACCGTTCGGCCACGGAGGCAGTTAATATTGTAATAACTGTAAGTGATCAATAAAAAAAAAAACTTTTATTAGTGAAATATCACGCATACAAGTTGTAACTCTTCGTACTGTAGCGGGAGACGCGACTAAGTGTAATACATAAGAGTTTATATAGAGTGGCGGCGGGCGCGGGTGCGTTCAAATTAGCCGCTGTTAGAAGTGCTGCAGCCGCGCGGCGGCCGCGCGACTTTCGCGCTGCTGAAGTGCGACCAAATTTTTAGTGATGTTTTATCTTTCGACTCAGTTACGCGATGGATTCTTATGAAGAAACATTACTTTTACTTATTTTGTTAAAACTGAAGAAGAAAAAATTAAAAAGTATACCAGAACGTATTAGAATCCGTTCGTTACCTTTATTTTGTTAAAAACATCAAAATGAATACTATAAGGTTCGGCAATATAACGACAAAAAATTCGAAAATTACATGAATAGAATCATGTTTATGGAATTACTTTAACTCTTGGAAAGCCATATTCAACAACAAGAAACCATCTTCGGAAACACTATTTGTGTACAATAACGACTTATAATTACGCTCAGGTGAGTAAAAAATTCGGAAATACTATACCCGTGTTGCATGGTGTTTTACATTCTCTATAAATTCTTCAATTCGATTTCCGTCTATCGCAGTTAATTTGAAAAATTAATACATACAACTCATTAACCGTGACTGCAAGCGAGCGCGGTCGCAGCGCTTTTAGAAATTGTACGAAAAGCAACAGTCGCGCGGTGCAGTGCTGCTGTGGTCTACCCGTACGTTTAATAGTGCTGCTTGGTCTAGCGTCTGTTTGCAATTTCGATGTGTGGATCTACCCGCTCGTATCCGCTTCGGCACTGTTAAAAGGAAGACGCCAAGACCCGCGCGCCCGCACCCACCGCCGCGCCTGCGCCTGCACTCTGAATGAGCTCTTAGACTGTGTAAAAAGGCGCGTTTTTAGTCTGAGTGTAGCTCTGCCCGAATGAACTAAGTGATTTTCTAAACCATCTCAATTTTATTTTACAATTCCATACTTCTGCCGTTTCGTCAGAATTAAAAATGTACAATGCTTTTTCGCTAGGTGGACAATTACGAAACACAAGAGTACAACTTCAACATAAAAGAGTCTGCGGACGCGCAGTTCAACAATATCCAGTACATGTACATCGGACGAAACGAGAGCATGAACGAAGGCTTCGTGGGCTGTGTTAGCAGAGTGGAGTTCGACGACATCTATCCACTCAAGCTGCTTTTCCAGCAGGATCCGCCGCCTAATGTGCGCAGTTTGGGAGGTCAGAAGGGTTTCAAATTACTAACTTATTCAGTACTACTTATGTTTTTCTTGGCAAGTCGGTTGTCATGAATTAGGTTGGTTATTTACTTAACGGTTTTTGTTACAACCACACCAATTGCCTGGTTTCAATCTAGGGTGGAAAGTTCCTTGTGCTGTAAGTACCAGAGAAACGGCATTCAGTCCGGGGCACAAGCTCCATATCTTTCTACGTTAGTTTTGATTATAGTGACCCCTCCCTACTTACCTTGAGGGTACGGCAAGGGCATACGAGGACACTATAACCTTACACTAGAACCTTATAAGTTCAGGTTCTGACCCCAGATTAGCCAGTGTATAGGGTTGTCACAGATTTCTGTCACTTGACTTCATCTGGTTCTTCGAGAGGCTAGTGCCTCGGGTGAGCCGCCCCGGGTGCACGTACAGTACCCTCCCTATTCTCCAGATAGGTACCGGAGCTGTGGGCACGCTTACGTCCTGTTGCGCATTGCACAACTAGCGGTTGCCACCGCTAAGCCGTCGACTCTGAGTCCACTACCAAATCTTCTCAGTGGTGGCGGAGCTGTAAGGCACGTCAGTCCGGGGCACAATTGAAACACCTAGATTAGAACCAATTCAGTACCGGGAATTAAAAGCGGGATTTGTTGGCCCCCGAGGTCGTCTTATCGAAATTTAAATTATCAAAAGGTAGAGGTTTCTTAATACGGTACGACTTTTTATTTCAACTGACGGTGAAGAAAATCATCGTGATTAAGTCTTTGAAAACGTATAAAGTGTAAACTACGTTAGGTTAGGGCGTGCTATGGCTTAAACCCTCTGCTTAGAAGAGACACACGCCCAGCAGTGGTACGTCTCATTGATGATAACGATGGTACATCATGACGGTTTCACTCCAAAGTCACGTTAATGTTATATGTTGTCAATGGCGTTTAATTTTTTTTATTATCCAAGTGACGGGACGAAATAGTTTTGCGCCTGGTGGTAAACACATTTATCCATAACAGTTGCAGTCCCACTTAGAGCTTTTAATCACAAAGATCTCAAGGGCACTGCTATTGCGCCCGTCAACCTGGTGCGTTCAGAGGGGCGTTTAAAACGTGTGTACGCGAAAACCTTGCTTGCCCCGCTGAATGCACCGCCATTCCGTATTTGCGGCCTGTAAGTTCACAAGTTCCTTTTAGTAGCAGTAGAGCACCTTGTGAAAGGGTTCGTCCAGGGAAGTACTGCCACCTTATCTATTTCTGCCGCCAAGTCGTAATGTCAGCATTACTGTGTTTCGGTTTTTGAAGGGTGAGGGTGCTGGTGAAATTGCAGGCACATGGAATTTGTCAACTTATGTCTCAGGGTGACGGGCGCAGTAGCAGTGGTGATTTTAAGCTCCGAGTGGCACTGCAACTGTTACAGACAGGCGTGTAGCTTACCATCAGGCGCACGACTTTTTTGTCCCGTCACTTGATATATTAAAAAAAAAATTATGTGCCTGTGACCCCTTACTCTTACCCTTACCCCGTACCCTTCCGAACCGGAACGCAATAATGCTGACATTACTGCTTGGCGGCAGAAATAGGTAAGGTGGCAGTATTCCCAGGACGAACTCTTTCACAAGAACCTCTGCCGCTATTAAAGTAGTTAAAAACTTGCCTACCAGACTGGACTGGCCAGGGCCAGTAATATTATGATATGAACTGATATGGGTGTCGCAGGCGGCAACCTGCACGAGGACTTCTGCGGCGTGGAGCCGGTGACGCACCCGCCCGAGCCCACGGAGACGCGCCCGCCGCCCGACGTGGACCTGCAGTCTGACTTGGACTACCACAAGACGGATGAGGCCATCCTCGGCAGTAAGTCATTCTACGCTAAACTCTATAACTCACGCTCTACATTTTACGGTACACATTCGTATGCTTTTCAACTCTTTACTATAAGGTTTTTTTTTTTGTTCTTTTTTTTGTTAATGGTTAAATATTCTACCAAAGATTATGTAAGGAGTAGTTTGAAATAATCTAATTTAGTCTGAAACCAACCTTGTAACACATTATAATTTCACTCCTACGTAACATAAGCCACAAAAATACGCGCATTTATTCATAAATCACTTTATTTTTATAGATCTATTATACTAACCAGTAAAACTATAAAGCATGAAAAATAATGTATGTATCCATTGCAATACCTCGAGAATCTCGAGAGTTATGCTCATTTTAGTCCTTATGTATTAAAATGTTCGCTAGTGAATTTTGACTTATACTCTAGCCAATTTTGGCTAGTAGAATAAATGTCAACAAACAAAAACAGATGATTTTTAGGGTTTTCATCTCCGACTCTTTCACAGTTACCACAATTTCAAAATTTTCCTACGAAATTCGACTAGATAAAAGGATAATACTAAACTAAATGCAATAGCCATCAGTATAAACATCTGAATATTATTCAACAGAAGTTTCAAATCACCTAGAAATAACATAAAAATGACCAGTAACTAATTATTTGTAAAACTGTGTCATCCCTATTGACATTTTGATTTGAAGGGAGAGATTGCAAACATTCGAGTTCTGGTGGTAATTCAAGTTCAGAATCGCAAATAGATATGTGGTAAATTAATACCAAATAAAATCTTACAATTTTGTTTCTTTTCATCTACCATTACCTACCATCGAGAAATAAATATTAATAGGATGCAAAAACTTTTTTTATTCCTAAATACGTATCAATAAGTATTTTGTAAATTTTATAATAATTGGCTAGGTAAGTATTACTTCTACATAACCCAATTACATACTTACCTATTAAATTCCAATTAAGGGAGCAGGTCGTGGGCAGAGCAAGCCTTAATAATGTGCATCGAAAAAAATGTTCTTTTCCTATGCCATCGTTGGTTGCCAAGCAACGTTTTGTTATTAAACATTCTACATCGAATTTGGCTAGAATATATTTGTTTCACACAGTATAGTATTCAGTATATAGCCTCAATTGTACTTTATATTTTTTCCAAAGTGGTTTATTCAACACTTTCACTGCTATGCGAAATCAACCAAACCCATTTGAGGTAGTGTAGACTTTTAAGATTCTATACGTAGGAGGGATCGAATTGATTATCTACACGGTTTAGATCGAGTGTTGAATGCTAACACACTTCATGAAGTTTATTAGATTATTTCCTGATCTCTTGAAAATTTTCAACAATTCTACACGTGTTCACATAAGCCAAACTATAAATAGCACTTGGAAGACTGACATACGTTTCTCACCTTCCACGCTTTGTTCGTCTCGCTGGCGCTAATAATAAAATGGGTTTGGAACAAGGTCAATGCATTTTCCTGCATCTGGACACTCGTAAACAGTTTGTTGGTAACACTCGAGTGTGGAAAACGTGCCGTTACATTAGCAAAAGCCGGGATATACAACACCGCACATGCTAGTGAAAATAAGTGATATTTCAGTACAAAAATGATAACAAAACACATACCTTGTGTTGTGGTATGATTGCACAGTTTATGGAGAGTAACAAGCTCCGTCAATTTACTGTGTGAATGTTATGATGACGAAAACTGTTTAGTTAAATTTTTATTGTCAAATTTAACAAGAGATAAATTATGAAGTAAATATATATATTTCTTGTACCAAGTGGCTTTATGAATAAAACATTCAATAGATTTTTTAACACATATTGCCGAAACACATGTATTGAATATTGATGTATCGGACTTGTGATGTTCATTAACATTTCTTCTATTTAATACGTATTAAACAATATGGATTTATACGTTATTTGTGGTGTAGCGGTGCTGGCGTTCATCTTCCTGCTGCTGATCGTGGTCGCCATCGTTTTGGTGCGGGCGCTTTCCCGACACAAGGGAGAATACCTTACACAGGTGATAATAGCTTTTATTATATCTCGTAACACCAGTAAACAGTTTTACAGACGGTAGTACATTAAGCTACACCTTGATGGATCTTTTGCCGTTGCACTGAAGGCGATGTTTGAACTAAAGTGTAGCTTGATGTGCTGTTGACGTACGTACAAGTGCAGTTAACGTACCGATAACGGTACGTCAAACTAAACTTTAAATGCAATAGTATCTCACTAACGTTAAGATTTGTGATACCAAGTGACAGGACGGACCAGTAACAACAGTAAAAAGAAACTTGCATAAATTAATACTGCTCTCAACCATTTTTAATATGTACAGATCACAATTTAAAATGTGTATCAATCCAAAGAAGCATTTTACAGTATTGAGGACATTTTTAATAATTAGTTTAACTTTATTTAAAATTAGTAGTAATTAACATTTAACAATTATTTTTGATTGGTTCGTAATATTAGTTTATGGTGCTCTCTAAATTTGCAGCGTCCTTGCAAGGTATCACATGTATGGGAACAATATATTTAAGATCTTTGTAAACTCGCTTGCCACAAGCATATATAAAGACAAATATGAACAAGCCTAGTGGTAAACGACGAGTCGAGACGAGTGGTCTGACATATCAGTTGGAGTGCTGCTCAGAGATTTTTTTTATTGAGGCGTCAGCCTCATGGGAGGAATACTGGGTTCCCTACTCAAAGGACATGTTCAAAAACTTGTACAAGCTTAGAGCGCCAAGACATACAGGCTCTCTGAGCCAACAATTAATTTGTCCATTGCATGAACTTACATCCCCAAACATTGTTCCTCTTAGGGATACGTTACGGTCACATTCCACCAATACATGATACAGAGCCTCTATTATATTGCAAGTACTGCACAATGGGGATGGTTTAAAACCCATCATATGAAAGAATTTATTAGTTGGAATGTGACCAGAACGCAGTCTGAAAGTCGATACAAGATATTGCCTTGCTATATTGACAGAATCAAACCAGGGTACCCACTGTGGATTACTCTGAATGGTTCTGTACCATATTCCAAGGCCTTTATCCACCGACTGTTCTCCGAAATGATATTCCCATTTTTCTAGGGTTCTTTTCTTAATTAGTGGAATAATCTCGGTGGCATAAGGCTTACAATCGAGTACAGTACCATTTTCAGCAGCTGATTTTGCATGGGAGTCAACTTCTTCGTTTCCGCGCAATCCCACATGGGAGGGAATCCATTGGAGCCTTAAACGCACACTTCTGCGGCGCTCAGAGATTTAAATCACAAAGACCTGAGTGGCACTGCATTGCGCTCGTCACTCTGAGACACAAGTTGTCACTTGTGCCTATAATTTCACCAGACTTTTTAAATATCAAACTGTCGAGACCAGCACGATATTGACTGTACAATATTATTTTGGCGTTATCATTTAGTAATAGAAAATACTCGTTGTTAATTCGTTATCATTTGGATTTACAGGAAAGGATTGGAATGGTGATCGCGTTTAACGCCATAATAAAGAGCACTAGTTGTACCAGATAACCACACTAACTACCTGGTCTCAAACTAGAGAATTCCCTGTACTATGAGTGTTACAGCAATGGAGTGAATACCTTCTAAGGTATTCACTCATAACACAGAGCACCCAGATTGTAGCCAAATTAAAATATGCATTTTTTAAATTGGTCCTATCGAGAATCGAACCGGGGACCTTCTCATCTATCTCCCATAGCGCCAATCTTTGGTAAAAAAAAAACAAAAACGAAATTTCGACGCTTAAGTGACCATCGCGCAATTATCTTGAATGTATTTCAGAAACATTGTAAAACAGTTGAACTGTTTATTTATATTCTTCTTTGATTAAAACTTCCATGTGTTACACAGATCTTAAAATTGAAATAGTGCGTACATGACCCTAGGGTGACGCAATTAAAAATTAAAAATAAATAAATAATTTTTAAACTATAAGAACATAAAACTAATAAAATTTTAAAACTAGTACTAAAAACAGTAATTGTATAGGTATTAAATTAATTATTTTTCAAAAAACTCTTGTAGGCTATAATAACATTTTTTTATCAAATGTGCTTTCTGTTTGGTAAATAAATTAGTTTGTGATTGGGGTGAGTTTTCTTTGGAGATTCTATTGAAGATTTTAATTGCCATTACAAAAGGCCCTGTGCTGTGCATTTTTAATTTTGAGCTAGGTAGTGCCAGTCTAATTTTATGTCACACACAGTCCATCTTCATGATTAACCTCAGAGAGGTTTTACGGCTGAGTGTAGGCGTCTTTTGCTTTGGTGAAGTATGTTTGTTTTTGTTGTCCAGGAGGAGCGCGGCGCGGACGGAGCGCCCGACCCGGACTCCGCGGCGCTGGCGGCGGCCACCGGCCCCCGGGTCACCAAGAGGCGCGAGTTCTTCATTTAGACCAACTACTTCGCCGTACTGTCCACCGCAAAAGCATCTCTTATCTGCGTTCCGTGCACTCGAGGAACGCTCTTGCTCCTCCACCAAGTCGCATTCCGTCGCAAACGCATTTACGATGTTAAGAATACTTTTTTAATACCGCCAAAGTTTACTGGCGGCGATTACCGTTCACCATCAAACGGACAGTCTTGAGTGTTTAACGATATGTTTACAATTGAAAAAAATACGGCATGTTTGGACGAGAGCGTTCTGTTCCGCCATTTCGTGGATGGTGGGAGGGGAGGGTCGCGCTTCTGGCGATCGTGCTTTGGATATTATACATTCCCACGTTACACACAAACTTACATGTAAAGGTACCTGGCTGAGTCAAGAAAAACTTTCATAAATTTCTCACAGATGGCCCTATAGCCAAAATATCGTTACAAACAAAAAAAAACCAAAGATCTGCAACAAGCATATAGAAAAATTCGCACAGTTTGCTGGTTCGTTCCATAGCTCTGTTGAATTAAGGCACTGGTACCAATTCAGCCGGAACTAATGATTTTTTCTTAATAATTGAGTTTAAGGAACCTCATTGCAAGATCTGCAAAATTTTCGTTACTGAAATTTGCCAGTTCTCTATTAAATATTAAAAATCTGAAAAGATTAGTAGTTGTGCAAGTCTAATTGACTTTTTAAATTGAATCTCAAAATGCAACCAGTAAACATAAATTAAATCCCATGTAATTTCACAAAAAGAAAATACTAATATGTAGACAATATTCAATACGTATTGATAATGCAAATAGAAATCGCACATGAAACCACATTCGCTTTGATATCACTGCCACATAGTACAAATCTTAAAAACATTGTGTGTTTTATATCATGTCACTGTAGTTACGGTTTGTGAATAATTTATGTCTTTCAAAGCGAAGCTTGAAAAAGCAGAATTTTATTAAAACACCTATCTTAAGGTTTTTGCGATTGTTACTCATAGGAAATGAAACTATTTTTCCGGATTTAAATCGCGTATATTTGTTTTTTCAAACAAACCAACGTTTCGGGACTTTTATAGGTTCCATGGTCAGGGCTGACATCAGTCATCACTACGCAATTTAGATCCGAAAAAGTTGTTTTATTCCTTAAGCTATAAGTAGAGATTTAAAAATAGTCTTGCGATTTTTTTTTACATTAAAGAACAGTTGACTATCGGATTCCATGTCGAGGCTGTGTTCAAATAGACAAGTCGTTGACATAATAAGCTGAAACAAAACACGAACTAACCGACTCGCCATACATAGCAAGGGTTTGTAGCGTCCGAACCCGGGGTTGGTTTGAAGTTGCAACGGAACCTGAATCAGCCCAAATGCGACTCAAATTTAATTATTTTTGACAAGCAACCACTCCCGGGATCATACGATACTCGCATTTAAGCTCATTCGGGTTCCGTTGCAACTTTAGACTGACCCCGGGTTGAGACGCTACAAACTCCATAGCAAGCTGGCATCAAAACGTTCACAACAATCAGTGAACATTGATGAGAAAAATCATCTAACATATTTGTTTTCAGCTCTATTAAAAATTTGTGCTTGAATAAATCAGCATTAAAATGAATCTTTTTTACAAAGTATTGTAGCATGAGTTCATTTATAGTCTTGAATGAACTTCTAAACTTTCTCCCAATAAGTGCCATTCGGCCCTCATTTATCACAACATTCAGCTCTTACGTATCTTTCATATTTTAATAATATTAGTAAGACGTATTTCAAAAAATATAATAATTTAAGCAGCTAGGCGTTACGTAAATAAATTTCTACTTTGGGGGAACCTGTGAATAAAATAACAGTTTGGTTTACGATAAAGTGAATAAAATATGTAATAGAAATCACCACACATTTTCTAGTAATGTTGTAATGAAATACAAATCGTGAAACGACTTCCAAACGTTTATACTTTTGTACATTAGCGTTTATATATTTTGCTATTCAGTTAAGTGTGTGTGAATTTATAGTTCGACATTTCTGTAACGTAGTCTATAAATATTCAACTTTAACGGTATTTTCACTGTTCAAAAGGCTCTACAAGGTGGTTGTTTGAATATCAGACTGAATATTAAATCTATTTTAATGTAGAGAGCTAAGGATACCCAAAAAAGCGGGTTCTACTGATGTGCAAGCGTCAGCTTTAATGCACTGTCCGCACAGAGGCGGTAGCGGGAATTTCTCTTTTATGCGTTCCGGGTCTGGGAATTTTTGTAATGTTCGAGTTCTTAGCAAAGCAGGCGCGGGCCGGATCCGGAGCGAAGGCGGGGCTAGGGCGCAAAGCTATACAGCTTTCCATCCATTGACTTCTATGCAACCGTCCGCACAGAGCGGAAGCGGCGGAGCGCGGTTCGGGGCGTGGCTTTACCGGGATTGGAAGTTTTTTTTTAGTTACCAAGTGTGTTTTTATTCAGTTTCAATATGAATTCTACCGAAATTTCTTTGGCGTTGTGTCCGTAACGCTAATGAAAACATACATTTTTCTTCTTCACTAATCAACAGTGACATGTTGCTTTTTTTAAAATTTGTGTAGAAAATGAAACGTGGCTGGTTTTGGTGTCACACCGACCGCCTTTGCGCCGTTGTCCCGCTACGAACTCCGCGTGGGAGTGCTGAGTAGCACGCCCCGGTATGCATTTGCTTCCCGCACATCCGGCCCCGAACCGCTTTTCCCCGCTGTACCGCGACTGTGGTCTGAGCTTAATGCATTGAAATGTGTAACAAATCCCAGTAAATGCCCAGGTTCTGTTTCTTATAAAATGTCAAAGAGTTTTGTGTACAGTGAAAGGAACCCCAGCCATCGCAAATTCATGAATCTCATGAAGCTTATTTATGTATGACATTATTAGTACCTATAAGAATAAGGTTCTTTTTATAATTGCATTTATATATTATACTTTTCTAATTCTTTATTTTAGACTGCGTATATTTTAGTTTTTAGTAATTACTAGCACGTAAGATGATGTGTTTTAGTTTTCCGTCCAAAAATAGAGATTTTTGTTATTGTGATTATTTGAATCAAATAATTTTTTTTGTAATTTGCGTATTCGTATTTCTAATATACGGTTACTTATAAAAATTGCGACTGGTTTGCGGTTATCAATTTTTATTGTATTTATGTGACTGCGTTTATTAAATATTACGATGTTTTTTCTTTATGTTTTAATAAAAACGCTGTCATAAAAATACATTACTATACGGCATTTTTTATACTATGTCGCTTGGTATCGGAATGATTAATCAGTTTAATATGCTGATCTGTCCTCAAAACGTCTATCTTGAAAGTTACTCTGGCGTTTAGCGTCTAATCCTATACATTCTCGGTACCCGTTCTTGAACTTCACTGTACAAATATGACATTTCACTATAAACGGCTGATTTTCAAGATGGTCACGCCCCTATTAATTAATTATTTACTTAAAAAGAACACTGCATTGAAAAATAAGGAAATTGTTATTAATTATAGTCCCAGTGGCAATACCCTTGTGCTAAATTAATTACATATGTCAGATACCAGACAAATAATAGTGATAAAAAATGTCGTAATTAAAGTTGTAAGTCATACGGTAAGATACCGTGCCTTATTGGAGTGGCGATTTGGAGGCACATAGTTTCACGTAGTGTTGGCGTTAGAGTTTTATTTTACTATAACGATATCACGAATAAATTTTCCACAAATACATTAGACGTTCGTTTTATTACTGTACTCTATGTGAATGGCAAAATTTACGATCCTGTCGGAGTAAATCTAAAGATAAACAAAACATGTTCACCTGCTGACTGAGAAGTGAGAGATCTGTGCTACTAAACTACTAGTGGTTGTCTAAGAAATTTTTCTAATCTAGCCAAAAAATACTAACGACATTTAATATTATTCATTCCAACGTAAGTAAACTACCGCACAACATTTTACAAATCGATTTGTTTAAAATAAGACGAAATACAATTTTTTACTCGTGGCCGGGTTTCGTCGCATCGGCGAGTCGAGAATTTCGTACAAGAGTGCCAATACATTCAGCACATGTTTTTTTAACTTCAATGATAAACACCTATGTTCCTTCCTGCCGTTTTGACGCTTTATGCCAGAAACGCTAAATGGCAAACGGGCAGAATCTCAGATTAACAAAATGCCAGATTCTCAAAATGCCAAATGTCGCTGCCAGGAACAGGCCTCCCTCCTAACGCTCGAGCGAATGTCCAGTAGTGGATACGTCATTCATCTGAAATAATGAAGCGATGTTCTGTTGTTTTACATACAACAAAATGTAGTTTACCTAAAAGCTAAAACCAAAGCGTCAAAACGGTTAGTAAGCTTATAGTTTGACGGAGGTTTTTTTTATAATCGGGACGAGCAAGTCGTGCGCCTGATGGTAATCTACATGCCTGTCCATAACAGATGCAGTGTCACTCAGGGCTTTAAACCGCAAAGATCTGAGGGGCACTGCCACTGCGCCTGTCATCCTGAGACACAAGTCGACAAGTCCAATGTGCCTATAATTTCATCAGCACCTCTGCCCTTCAAAACCAGAACACAGTAATGCTGACATTACTGCTTGGAGGCAGAAATAGGTAAAATGGCAATACTTCCCTGCACGAACACTTCACAATGAGCTAATAATGTAAGTAATCTTTACTACAGCAAAACAGGTTCGTTTCCTAGATTTGGGAGGTTCCATTAGGATAACTGAGGAGCTGTACTTCTAGAGCTGTGGTCTGGTGGTCGCTTCTTTTTGAAGAACTTGGTAACAATTAGGATGAAAATAAAAATAGCAACTCATTGATTGACATTTCAATATAAAATCAAAATGTCGTAACTTGCAATCATAGGGATTGAGTTTCAACGATATGGGTTCAGCATTGACTTATATTGTAAGTCAATGGGGTTCAGGTTTAAATTATATTAACAGTGCAGAATTTGTTATTTCTTTTTAAATTAAAAAGTACGACTTACGACCAATCTGTATCAAGATTTCATAGTGTTACAAATTATGAGTTTTTGAATTTGTGAGTTTTGGCGACAGCGTTCTGATAGTACCTAATCTGGGCATAAGGCACTTCAATTGTTTTTTTTTCTTTCGTGTTATCTCGTGCTATAATCTTATGAGAATCCAATTATCGTTATATAATATCTCATTATGTTATTGATGTTTGTTGACTAGGTATTCGAAAGATAATCCTACTATGCACCACGGTTATTTTAAAATATTTTCAATTCACCCACGTTTCGGGATAAGTTTAGCAAATGATGATTTAATATTTCAATCGCTGTATGAAAACTCCCATGTGCCAATTTGTATTGATAGTGTTACTGTACATGTTTTTAAAAGTCGTCAATAGGTAGTGTAGAAACCAGTGCATGATAAAAGAATTTGGTGTGGAGTATAAATTACACAAGAGAACAGAATAGAGCGCACACCTAAATGCAGATGTTTCTAAAGTCGAAAAGTCCGTAACGTAGTGACGTAGTCGCCACAACAAGAGTCAATCGACATCTAGCACCGGTGTAGCACTTAACCCGTTTGCGAATCGCTGACGGCAGGCTCTGCTCTTACATGGAAACGATTAATAATGATGTGTGTTGGAAGTTATCGATACAATTTTCTCTTAACTTATACAGAAGTTATTTAAACATTAGGTACATAATATAACGCGTAATTAATTATACCTATTAAAAAAATACTTGTCAATTTTTGTTGAAGGTAATGTTGTAGTCAATTGGGTTGGGCAAACTTTTTTATTAGCTTTCAGAAAAAGCAGGAAATTGAACATAAAAATGCGTCTACTTTAAATATTGTTTATGTCAGCTGTGTATATATATGTTATATTGTGTATCGATATAAGGTCGATATCGACGAGGCTGTCAAAATTTACTTCCGTGTGCCGTACATACACTCTTACTTTTGAAGGGACGTCGGCGTGCTGAATGAAAGCCCTTCGCGGGCCGAAGTTGGCCTGCGGGCCGCACCCTATTGTAGTCACTTAGGGCAAAAGATTTTTATTTCAATAAACTAGTGTACAGGCCTCCGTGGCCGGATGGTTGCCATGCCTGACTGCCACACATGGCCTACATTTATTTCTCTCGTGACTTTGGGCGTAATTTGTGGTTGTCTATGTGTGTCCGTGGCAGCCGTGATACAGAGTTTCCCTAGTGCCTGGCTATGAGTGTGCATGTTATTATTATTATTCTTATTAGGCATGTATTTAAATGATCATTTTAAACTTGCAAAAGCAGCTGGCAAAATCTAAACGATCATCTTTTTAGCG